AAAAAAAAAAAAAAAACAAAACAAAAACAATACCTAACAAGTACAATGATCAAAATCTTCACCAGTAATGAATCTTCGACTTCCTTTCCGGAGGAAATTGATTAGCAACAAAGTTTGGTGAGAAGTTCAACGAGCTTCTCGTGATCGTTGATGTCAGGATTCTCAGAAGAAGAAGAAGAAAATCAGAACCGGATTAGTAAATGCTCCTTCGACGTGGGGGAAGTTTGAGAGAGAGAGAGAGAGATGAAGAATTTAATGAAAGCTTCAATTGTAACGTTTTGGAGTGTCTATATAAGTCCATTCATAAACAAAAGTGACTAAAATTCTGCATTTTTTTTTCTAAAATAAAATCTTTCATTATAAGAAAAAAAAACATTTTTTAATATATTTTTATCTTTAAAAATTAATAAAAATACCTCTAATTTTGTATTTTATTTAAAAAAATATTTTTAAAATTTAAATTTCTTAATAATAATTTTTAAACATTTAAAAAAATTTCAAAATATTTTTACCATTAATTTTGGATTGAAACCATAATTTATTTTTAATGCCATTATAAACGTATTTATTATTAAAAAAATGAAAAAAAATCATTTAAAAAAATAAAAATACCAAACACTTTAAAATATATATATATATTAAAAACAAATATAACCCAAAACGGAAACAAAAAAATTTTGAAATTTGAAAAAGATTCTGAGATGACGGCCGTTGATTAACGGCAGGAAGGAGGCTTAAAGCCGGACGTCAATAAACGAAGCACCGTCAGAAGCCCCATACCAGACAACATTAATAAATTATCATTAAATAACTTGGTGTTTTCGAGTTTTGACTTGAAAACGGTTATTCCACGTCGGATAATATGAGACAAATGTAATTACGACACGTGTACAACTTCCTCCCACGTCGGAACTACTTAATAGAAGTATGAGTGGATTACGGGTTTTATACGCTACATTACTCACACAAATAGTACGAATGGTCCTTCCGGGTTTTCGTAATTATTATGATTCAAACTGCCGGTTTATCTTTTTTTCCTTTTTATATTGAATTGACCGTGACCATCGGAATCAATGCGGGCATTGCGATTTGTCGGTGACCCCACAGCCCTGTAATTTTAGCATAAAATAAAATTCGTACCGTTGTATGTTCTTAATTTTAATATTAAGTTAATACAAAATATTCCTAAATTAAGTAATTTCATTTTTTTTTTTCTTTTTTGAAAATAATATCATCAATATCTCTAATTAATATATCTACGGAGTCATCTTATTTAAGCCACCAATATGTCGCTATTAAGTACTTTGCTTAGAGCAATTATGTAACGACCCAGATCCACCGCTAGTAGATATTATCCTTTTGGCTTTTCCTTTTGAGTTTCCCCTCAAGGCTTTAAAACACATCTTTAGAGCAAGATTTCCACTCCCTTATAAAAGGGTGTTTTGTTATCCTTCCCGACTAACGTGGGACATCATAAATTAGGTGTTGGATGACCATACCTAAACCCTAAAACCCTAAAACCCTAAACCCTAGACTATATTGAACCCTAAACCATCGGATACTTTTGTGTTTAGTTTTACTTAAAAATGTCGATTTGATGATAACTCAAACAGTTAACACATATGCCATCGACCAGAATGTCAAATATTCAAAATCATCCACCCGTGCTGACTCAAATAAAAAGGTTATAGTCAAAAAGACTTCAAACCAATAGAAACCCGATCATTTCTCAGCTACGTTCTAAGTTAAATGAAGAAAAAAAAAAAGTTAAAAGTGTAAAGGGGAAGAGGGGAACTATGAACGTTGGATCCTCCAAACTCAAATGATTATGGAGGCAAACTTTTGGCCATGCGCCCTTCTTTTTTACATTATGTGCCCCATTTATTTAACCCCATTATTATTATTATTATTATTATTATTATTATTATTTATTTTAGTTAAAAACCTTTTTATTAGATTTTGTGCTTCAAAAACCAAACAAAATCACTAATCTATATATTCTTTGCATTTCCATATATTTAGTTGGGAGTGAAATTCCACTTTTGCCCCTGTTTGTTAAAGGGTTCATTAAATTGTATCAAAATAAATTTTATTTCACTTAATTGATTTTGTTTTTATTTTTTATTTTTGGTTAAAATTTAGCATATTTAATATTTTTTATTTTTCAAGTATGCTAAATTAATAAAATAATATTTTAAATCATATCGTTCTTGTATATAATTTTGTAAATATTTGCGGTGAATCAAATTTTGGAAGATAATAGATATTTTATTAAGTTGATTTTTCATTTCAATCATTTACAAAAACATAATAGAAAGTTTAATGATGAGATTTTAAAATATATGTAACATTAATTTTTCATTTCATCCTATAATATTTAAAATTTACGTAGGTTGCTTTTTATTAATTCGTTGACTCGTTTTTCAACAGGCACGTGGTGCTTAGATATAGATAGTCTGTATCTTCACTGACATGTCTTTTTCACTTGGTCTCTCTTCAAAACAATGGTCAAATCGTTACTTCTTCTGTAGAGAAGAAAAACGAGGTTGTCAATAGGTTGAAGACACGTGGGCGCATGTGCTTCATGTGCACGTGGAGGTGCAAGTAGCCAAGGAGCTAGACGTGTGGGTCAGCGCAAGCACAAGTGTGGCCATGCGGAGACTTATTTCTAGTTACTGTTCATTGTATTCGACTTCTTTTGACCTATCCTATCAAAATTGGTCTATAATAACTTTGAAAATTATTAAATACATGTCCAATTCTTTTGGCAAGGGGTGAGTAAAACAATAATAAATTATTTACGGCTTTAATTTGGTACCATAGATAGGTTTGGTCAACACAAGAGCGAATATTTTTTTAATGGTATGAAATTTGGGGTAGATGTTTTTTTTTTTTTTTCACAGCTCATACCAGTTTTTAATGGTGAGAAATATAAGTGGTGGAGCATCAAATGAAGTCGTTGCTTAGATCGCAAAAGCTATGAGACGTGATGGAGTATAGGTTTGTAGATGTATTTGAACCCACAACAAAAGAAAAGGTTGAGAGAAACCAAGAAAAGAAAACGTCAAACTTTGTTCATTGGTTAGCAAGCAATTCATGAGACTATCTTGTCAAGAATTGTAGCAGCAACTACATTAAAGCAAAATTCAAAGACCATAACAGTCAAATTGTTATCTGTGAGACATGATTTTGAAACTTTTCTCATGACGAATAGTGAATCAATTGCTGATTTTTTGTCCGACAATAGTTAGCCAAATGCGTGGCTATGGAGAGCAAATTTCATATGAAACCATTGTTGCAAAGGTATTGGAAAGCTTAACTCCAAAATTTGATCATATGATGAACTCATGGGCTCGCTTCAATCTCATGAGTCAAGAATCAATAGATCATAAAAAAAAAAAAAAAATGACTCAATTAGCTTAGGTGAAGAATGCATTTATGACAAGCAAACTAGGAAGTCTTTTCTTATTGTTTCAAATTGTCTAGAATTGATTCACGTTGATTTATGTCGACCAACGCAAACTAAATCCTTCGTAAGGAGAATTTATTTTTTACTATTTACTGACGACTATAGTCCCATGAGCTGAGGTTTACTTTCAACAACACAAGTCAAAAGCTTTTGTAAAATTCAAAAATTTTAAAGCTACGGTAGAGAACCAAAATGGCTGCCACAATGTGTAAAACAGTCTGAGGTCCCATGAGCAAACTCAATGTAATGTAAACATGCCTTAAGAGGGGTGAGGGACCACATGTGTAGATCGAGTAGCTGACACGCATGCGAGGGCGCTCCTCCAGATGTTGGTTGTATGGGGTCGCTAGTTAACCTTGCACAAATGTGTTCAAATCAAATGTCATATTGTCTTATGAGATATAATGAGGCCATGACTCAACCCATGATACATGATGTTCACCGTTGTGGCTATGCAAGCTCACTAAAACGTATGATAACAGAAAAGTTGGCTCATCCAAGATGAAATTCACCATCTAGGAATTTGCCGTGCTAGAACCAACCTAGTGAACAACTTCCAGACCTCGATAGGGTCTATGAAATATAAGAGAATTGTTCAGAACGTCAAAGCCTTCCTAGAATTTGAACAATTATTTTTTAATTATTATTATGAAGATTAAAAGATATTTGTAACGTTATTAAAGATAAGTTATAACTTGCGGATGTTTGATATTTCTAATTTATAAAATTTTAACTATAATTTTTTAAATAATTAAAAAAATAATCTAAAAATTAAAAATAGATTAAAAAAACAACTTGAAGAACCATTTATTGGGAAAAGCAAAATTTTCCTTTTTAAAAAAGTAATTACAGAATATTATGATACAGAAATCAATGGCAATCAATCTCCTAAAAAAGCGGTGGGCCCACAGCCGAGTCAGTGCCACGCTGGAATCGTAATTTATGCCAAGTTTTTCCACAGCACCGCCGTACGACAGCGTTACCGCCCGACCGCACTACCATACATTGTTTTGGCTTATGTTATATTGTTCACTTTATTATTACACTTTCCTCAAAATTTTATACATTAATTAATTAATTATTATTATTTAATTAATTGAGTCAACAGCTTTCAAGGATGATGTAAGATCTACAATATTATTAAAAATATAAAAACAATTCTTTATTAAAAAAAAAAAAACCATACAATAAATTAAAAGTATGTTCGGGAGTTCCAAAAGAAGAAGCGTAATTTTTGTTCTTAAATATTTATCTAATTAATTAACAACAGTAACTTATTTCATGATATTATTTTTTTAAAATTTTTAATAGAGATATTCATATGATTCGATAATCAGATCAATATAGACTAATCAAACCCAAACAATAAAAATTTGGGTTGAATTAGATTTTTCGATTCAGTTGCTCTGACATTTTTTTTTGTTAGGTCAACTCAATCCAATCCTATCATACTGAGAATATATCATATTTGTAACCGATATTAATAATGTAGTGTGACTTATAAATATTTGATATTTGAATTTTATAAGATTTTAGTTATATCGTAACACGTATTATGAATAAATATGATTTTTGAATCATTAAAAAAATTAATCCACAACCCAATTCAACCGAATTAGTTTTGTATTGGGTTGGGTTGAGTTGTGAATTGTATTAGGGTTGCTCGAGTCACAAACCTAACCCAACTTGAAAATAGAGGGCTAGGTTGAGTTGGCTTAGCTTATGAACTCTATTTAGATGGTCGAGTTATCCATCTAAAATTTTGAATTGGTTCAAAAGAT